TGTGTGTGTGTGTGTGTGTGCGTGTGGAGGGTGTGTGGACGGTGTATGTGTGTATATGTGTTGGTGGTGTGTGTGGAGGGTGTGTGTGGAGGGTGTGTGTGTGTGGTGTGTGTGTGTGTGTAGAGATTATGTGTGTGTGATATGTGTGGAGGGTGTGTGTGGTGTGTGTGGAGTGTGCGTGTGGAGGGTGTGTGGACGGTGTATGTGTGTATATGTGTTGGTGGTGTGTGTGTGTGGTGTGTGTGGAGGGTGTGTGTGTGTGTGGTGTGGGGGCGGTGTGGAGGGTGTGTGTGTGTGGTGTGTGTGTGTGTAGAGATTATGTGTGTGTGATATGTGTGGAGGGTGTGTGTGGTGTGTGTGGAGTGTGCGTGTGGAGGGTGTGTGGACGGTGTATGTGTGTATATGTGTTGGTGGTGTGTGTGTGTGGAGGGTGTGTGTGTGGTGTGGGGGCGGTGTGGAGGGTGTGTGTGTGGTGTGTGTGTGTGTAGAGATTATGTGTGTGTGATATGTGTGGAGGGTGTGTGTGTGTGTGTGTGTGTGTGGAGTGTGTGCGTGTGGACGGTGTATGTGTGTATATGTGTTGGTGGTGTGTGTGTGTGGTGTGTATGGAGGGGGTGTGTGTGGTGTGTGTGGGGGGGGTGTGCACAGGCACAGGGTGAGCAGTCAGGAACACATGCAGACGTGTCAAGGGTGGGTGTGCACCCATGTAAACAGGNTGGACGGTGTATGTGTGTATATGTGTTGGTGGTGTGTGTGTGTGGTGTGTATGGAGGGGGTGTGTGTGGTGTGTGGGGGGGGGTGTGCACAGGCACAGGGTGAGCAGTCAGGAACACATGCAGACGTGTCAAGGGTGGGTGTGCACCCATGTAAACAGGCCCAGGAGCTCTGACCCCAGCATGTGCCTCCGGTGAGACACCAAAGGGAAGGGAAGCCAGCCCCTTCCCAGCTCCACTCAGCGGGACTTGCCAGGGGCTCTTTCCCCTCCTAACGGCTGCCGTCTCCTGCAGAGCTCTCCTTCAGGGTGTGGATGTGTGGAGGGAGCTTGGAGATCGTGCCNGTGTGTGTGTGGTGTGTGTGTGTGTAGAGATTATGTGTGTGTGATATGTGTGGAGGGTGTGTGTGTGTGTGTGTGTGTGTGGAGTGTGTGCGTGTGGACGGTGTATGTGTGTATATGTGTTGGTGGTGTGTGTGTGTGGTGTGTATGGAGGGGGTGTGTGTGGTGTGTGTGGGGGGGGTGTGCACAGGCACAGGGTGAGCAGTCAGGAACACATGCAGACGTGTCAAGGGTGGGTGTGCACCCAGGAGCTCTGACCCCAGCATGTGCCTCCGGTGAGACACCAAAGGGAAGGGAAGCCAGCCCCTTCCCAGCTCCACTCAGCGGGACTTGCCAGGGGCTCTTTCCCCGCCTAACGGCTGCCGTCTCCTGCAGAGCTCTCCTTCAGGGTGTGGATGTGTGGAGGGAGCTTGGAGATCGTGCCCTGCAGCCGGGTGGGCCACGTCTTCCGGAAACGCCACCCCTACAACTTCCCCGAGGGCAATGCCCTCACCTATATCAGGTAGGTCCCAGGACCAAGAGCACCGAGCTTAGAGCCAGGACACCAGGGTTCTAGGCCCAGTCCTGTCAACTGACTTTGGCAGCCAGCCCCCTCTCTGGGCCTCTGTTCTCCCATTTGCCCCCTCCCAGGTCTTTCATTCTAGATTCCCGGTACTTCCAGGAGGAAGGATGACGTTGGGAGTGTTGCTACCTGGTCTCTCTTGCCTTGACTATCTTTGTCCTTGAGGGTCTTGGGTAACCAGCTAGGAGCTGCCTGCCCTCCGCTCACATGGCATGAATGCCATGTCCTGACTCTGACTTGGCCAGCATCTGCCCATCCATGTCCCCGGCCACAGGCCTTTTAATACATTTTCATATATATGGTTTATGTAGAGAGAGACACACACATACAGCTTGGGTTTGTGTTTGTGTTTTTATATAAATGGGATCCTGCTCTATGTTTCGTCTGCAGCCTGTTTTTCTGCCACTCAGCACTAAATTGCAGACATCTTCAGTGAGCGCACGCTGACCGTGGCATTGCTTTCCAAGGCTGCCGAGTGCTCCATCACGAGGAAGTAGTTCACCATCCTCCACCCGTGGGCCTTTAGGTGGTTGCCAATGTTTTATTAAACAGCTATTCATGTCCGTGTCCTCGCTGCCCACACACAGATCTGTCAGTAGAATAGATTCCTGGAAGTGGAGCGTCAACAAGTATACATAAATTGATGGATAGTGACAGATCGTTCTCAAAGAGATTGTGCTCATTTATACCACCCTAATCAGTCCTGTTTTGCATACGCTTCTGAGATTTTTATCACCCCGTGTTCTCATCCGTGCCCAGAGCTGCTCTGGATCCTAACCCTACCTCTGTCACCGCCTCGGTGGCCTTCTTTGGCTCCTCCCCCTGCCTTTAGGAATACCAAGCGCACTGCGGAGGTCTGGATGGACGAGTACAAGCAGTATTACTACGAGGCCCGGCCCTCGGCCATCGGGAAGGCCTTCGGCAGGTGGGCCCCCCAGCCCCGCTTCCCTCCACCTGGTAGCACAACTTTAACCCGAATACAGCTTGTGAGCCCCCACGGTCTCCTTAGTCACTGAGCCCCCTGCTCTGTGTGCAGCGCAGGGACAAGACACTGGTCCTTGAAGGGGATGCAACCCCATGCGGGGAAATAACCAGAGAGGGCTGTTTTTGAAGAGTTTCTGTCCACAAGCTGCCTGCAGGAAAAGGGACATCTGTGGGAGTACTTAGGGATGAACCATCTGCAGAAAACACTTAGGGTCCACCCCCTGTTGTTCCAAATCTGACTGGGAGCCGTTAGCCTATTTTCCTGTCTCTGACTGTTATGACTACAGTCTAGTTAGGCATTTTCAACATGCAGATTTGTTATGAAGTCAATTTAGTGGGTTGCGAATAGCATTTTAAGAAAATGATTAGTACACTATAGATTAAACACTGTGGATTAGTACAGAACAGAATAGAAAAATAACAGTCGGTTGCAGTGAAGGGTAGCACTGTTTTGTGAAACTTATTTCAGTTATGTGTGTCTACATAAATGTGTACACAGGTAAACTCGATCACGATGTAAGATGTATTTATGTCTTATTTATTTAAGGTCATGGTCAGAAAAGTTTGAAAACATTATTAGTGATCATCAATGAATCTTCCTCCCTTATTTACTTATATCTATCCCTTTAAAAAAATAGAGTTTTGTCACTGACTATTTCTTTTAGTGGGGAGCTAACATTTACTGAGGACATACCCTGTGCTAGGCACTTATGTCCCTTAATTTATTTGAATCTCACCAAAACCTCCTGAGGTCAGTGGTTATGTCTTTAGTTTACTGGAGAAGAAACTGAAGCTCCGGGAGGTGGTGAGGGGCATCTGTCAGTGGTTATTATGGTTGTTTAACTCAGGAAGGTGAGGAGGCCGAACTGCGTGCCCACCAGCACATCAGACAGTCTGATAGGCTAGAATTCCTGAAAAGTCTTCAAAGCCTGTTCCTCTTGTTGTTAGACCCTTTCTGCAGTGCACACAGGGAAAACTGGAGTTCAGTAAGACTCTGCTCTCTGTGGAAATAGGGGCCTGTGCTAACTGAGAGTGTGTGTTATGCTAGCTGAGGGCTCCAGGAGTGAGGAGAGTCAAGTGTAGCCCCCTGCGGGCTAGGCTCATCTTGAAAAGTGAGCAGGAATTTGAGGAGAGAAGTGAGGAATGGCCAGGAGACCTGGGGTGAAGTCAGGAGTCAGAGGATGACTTCAGGCAAGTGGTTGAGGCTGGAGGGCAGGCTGGGACCCAGACTCCTGGTCCTGGCCCGCTAGGAAGGGGCCCCTGCCCAACCTCCCTGGGGCTTCCTCCCATGCCCACTGGCCAAAGCCTGAACCTGGCCTTCTCTTTTAGCGTGGCCTCGAGGATCGAGCAGAGGAAGAAGATGAACTGCAAGTCCTTCCGCTGGTACTTGGACAACGTCTACCCAGAGCTCACGTGAGTGCAGCCTTCAGCCTGTGCATCTGGCCTAGGTGGGGGCCAGCAGCTTGGGGGACCCTTCTACCCCAGGATTTCCCATCCCCCACTGTCTGGGTCTTTCTAGCTGTCTGTGTTTATCTTCATGTGAAGGCTCAGGGGAAACTGGGAGGACGTTACCAAGAGTTAAAAATGACCTGTGGTTAAGAACCAAATTTTTAGCACACTGGGTCTGCGAGCTGGAAATGGACATTGTCTCTAGGAAACAGCACTGCGTTATGTAGCAAAGGCCACAGAAATCATCATGCCCTTTGACTCTGTTCTCTCCCTTCTGGGAGTTTATTCTAAGAAAATGAAGCAACTGAAACAAACAGCTGTTGACAAGTAGACGTTCACTGTAGGCTTCTCTGCTGCTGGGGGAAAATCGAGAAACAACCAACAATGGGGGCTGAGTTGCATGAATCATGATGCATCCATCTAAACAAATGTTATGTGCCCATTAATATTATAATGGTAAAGACTGGGAAAGAAAAAGAAGAAAAAAAGAGACTGGAAAAGCGAGGGGAAATGCTTGCTCTAGCAAATGTGGAAGCAACCTGCAGATGGCGAGAGCACTAGAGCCACAGTGCAAGTGAGTGTGTGAGCGCCAAACAGCACTGTGGGTGACCAGCCTAATGGCCAGGGTGGGTAGAGAGGATTTTTTCTTTCTTACTTCAAAATCCTTTTGAGTGTTTTGGCTACATCCACATGGCTCATTTCCTCACCTTCTTCAGGTCTTGCTCAAATGTCCCCTTAGCCAGTAGACCTCCCTGAACACTCTGGATTTGCAACCCTGCCCCCAGCATTCCGGCTTTGTCTTCCTCTGCCACCCTTATCATCTAACATCCATCTGGCCAGCTAGTTCTGTGGTCGCCTGCCACAGTGACTGTAAGCTCCAGAAGGGCAGAGGTGTTCATCTGTTCTGTTCACTGCTTTATCTCCAGCCCCTAGAAGTGTGTCTGTCCCAAAACAGGCTCCCGATAAATACTTTTGATTGAGTTAATTGCATAGTCAATAAGCCTCAGTAATAACTTTGAAATTAGTGTTCTCCCTTCTATAGCTGTCACCTGGGGGAGAGAGTTTCTCCCACTGTGCCAGCTTTCTCCCGAAGATGCTGGGTGGCTTTCCAGAACACCACCCCTCCGAGCTTGCACATCTTTGAAGGGCAGATTTGATTTTTGGAAAACAGCCATAGTTACATCATAGCCAAGATCAGTGAATAAACTAGATTAACCTAGATAATATAAATCCTGGGTCCCAAATACAGTGTGACAAGACTGAAACAAGTCACAAAAATAAACTGACACTGGGAGCAATTTCCAAGGAACTCCAAAACCATTTGAGCTACAGCAGCATCCTCAGAAGAAAGGTGGCGGCCTGGATTCTGCCACGCTCCCTGGATGACAGTTGTGAAGGGAAGGACATTCATTTGTAAAAGTATAATAAGCCACTTCCTCAAGTGACCACTTTTGAGGGGATGGTTTCATTCAGATGTGTCGTTTCTGAGGGGAAAAGTCATTTCTTAGCATTCTGTCAGAAACATTCAGATGGAGCCATAGACTCCAGGCCTCAGGTGGGAGCTTGGGAGCCTGGGGAAGTGGGGAGAGGGGGGCCGAATGTGCTCTTCCACTCCTCACCCCAGTCCCCATGCAGAGTGCCCATGTCATCCCCCAAGGACCAAGAGGAAGAAGTAGTTTATAACTGTCAGAAACCTGGTTGGATCGACCCCAAGGCAGGCCAGTGGATGAAACCAGCTATGTTAAATGAGAAGCGTAACTCAACTTCTGTTTGTTCTGTCACTGTGTGAAAGTTAAAAACTGATTTATTGCTGTTAAGGTAGAAACCACACACCTCATTCACACCCAGATTATTCCTCCCCAGTCCACTCGTTCATGAGCTGCCTCAGTTCTCAGGGAGACGGGTCAGGGGTTTACAAAGGAGATCAGTTGGCCCAAATGACACCAACTTTATTCCAAGCAGGGGATCCTAATAGTTGGCCCACACCACTGCCAGCGGTGTGGGAGAGAAACTCCCCGAGGTTCTGAAGAACCTCGAGGTTGGTCCTGGGGTTCTCGGGGCTTCCAGCCAGCTCTGAGGAAGGAAGACCTGGGTTGGCCGAGATCCTACAGGATGCCTACATCGAAGAATGCCAGATGTTTTCTGATGC